AAAAACCTTGTAAAATGTAATAAAAGCTTCCTCATAATGTATTTGTTTCAATACATTTTAGCTTTATTTATTGAATAGTACTTTCGATTCTATGTACATTGTACATCACAAAAATTTTAGGAAGGGGTAGTGTGAAAAATTTTAAATTTTAACAGTAACCTATTTATCAAATATATAAAAAGAAATATGAAGAAAAAATGTTTTTTACCTAAAAGCAAAAATATGGGACTGAAAGGGTTAAGCATTGTTATACTGCAGTATTAGGTTAAATTAATTTTTCCCAAAAACAATGTAGTTAAAAATGTTATACCTTGTATACTGTATACATTATAATGTAACTGCTGAAAGTATCAAGCACCTAAGAATATTATTTTAAAATTAAAACAGAATCGTTATTATTGTTTTTTTAGTATAATTTCGTCCAAATTTTAACTTAAAATGTCTGTACAAAATAACTGAGTTAATAATATATTATTTGGTTGCAGTATGAAGTTTTTAAGAAGATCTTTGTTTAAAATTGTTAATTCGTATATTTAAAAATTGAACATTCTATAATGTCTATTTTAACTATAAAATATTTTAAACATGAGATTATAATAAATTTTGTCAAAATTTAAATTCCAAATACTAATGAATAAAATCGTGCCCATGGATGCATTTATCAACTGCTATATTTAAAATTTATACGGAAACTTGTTTTAAATTTTCAAACATTTTGACTRCGAATAGAATTTGATCGACTATTATTATATAGAATAAAAACTAAAAAAATTTTAATATTTAATCCCCGCGAGTAGGTACTCATTATGAAGAAACTTATTCTTTAAATATTTTATCACAGAAAATTATGAAACAAATATTTGAAAACAATTTCAAGTAGGTTCCCACGGTTATATTAGTAATTTTTAAATAATTACAAAATAAGAAAATCGTTGAATGTGAGAATTTGTTCATTCATGTGTGAATATCCAACGTTCGAAATTTTCTTGTGCCTATAAATTGGTCAAAAAAGAATTGCAATGTTTTGAAAATACTATGATGCATTGAAAGTGCTAATAAATATAAATATTCAGTTAAAATTTCATGTAAGCACCCACTGTTTTTTTTTTAAACTTATTTCACGTATAAATCTCAGTTTTCCTTAATTTTTTGTTTATTTCTCTGACACTTTTGAAAACTATTGAGCATTTTTTTACTTTTGTTTCCCTCTACAAAAAAAAATATATATATAAATTTATAAAATCACTATATTCATTATTGTTCCTCCCAGAATCGTCAGAATGTAGTACAGTTGTTGAATTTTACAGAATATAAGAATGGTGGACTATAACATTATGCATAGGAGACTATCTAGACAATAAATAGTTTTTAAGTCTAATATATAAAACCTAGTCCCAAAATAAAACAATAATATATTTACCTTAAGACTAAACATCGAATTTCTGGCTAATCCCGTGCCGTATCATTATACACACTGCTGTGCTGATGTGAAAACAACTTTGGAGTAAAAATATTTTGAAYTATGAAAATAAAATTTAATAGATCACAGTATTTTTTTTATTTTTTTTTTCATTTTGCTTATTGAAATTTAATGATCGTTATTAACGCTGTTTTATTAACCATTACCAATCGCCATAGATGATTGATTAGTTACTGTTATTATATTTTATTACATCAATATGATGAATCCACCGATACATAAAAATAAAACAATTATTTAAGCCACCTTGACTTATTGTTGAATCCGAATAAATTTACGTATTTTATCGTATCAAAGAAATTATTGTGGTTAAATTTTTCTACTGAAATTGTTATTTGACAATAAAATTAGGTACTGAAATACCTTATAATTTTAAACTATTATGATGTACAAGATCGTTCCAATTATTATTTTTATTTTTGTATTTCTGAACATTATTTAAAATTGTGTATTCAGTGGCATACCCCAACCCCACTCCCCTTGCCGTTTAACTCGAAATCACCATTAAAGACATATTGTATATTATGGTAAGATAATTTGTATAGTAAAAATATTAATTTAAGTCAAATGGCTGTTTTTTTTTTAAATATCAATTATATTCTCGTTATGTAAATTGCATTCGTTTATGTTAGAAACATAATTTCAAAAAATTTAATTTTTTTTTAAATATTTTATGTGATCATTTTTATTTAAATACCATATTCACCTAGGTAAATTTATATTTTGTGAAATTATAATGTTTTTAGCATTAACGATCGTAATTTACTTAATGAGAATATTGATATTTAAAAACAAATTTTAAATCAGCCATTTGACTTAAATACATTTTTTTACCATACACCTAAATTTTTCTCAAAATAAGATTTACAAATTGGATCTATTGAATGTTTCACAAATTTTTTTTTCAGTATTAAAGAATAAAAAATGTAGCGCAAGTGTCTATGAATCATATTGAAAAAATTTTTTTTTAATATTGATTAGCACACAAGTTATTAATTCATTTATCAAAATGTCAGATTTTCATGAAACGCCCTGTATTGTATTTCATATTTTATAATTTTTTACTTTGCAGTTTTTGCACTGATCACTCCACCTCCACATCCTACCTATAAATCTATAATATATTTAATATAMGTTTGTAATCATATATAGATATACCTTACATATATATAAAGAGGAAAGACTGTGTTTTGAAGTGGAAATTTCATCTTGATTATATAATATTTTTAATATCTATAACTAGAAATAGTTGTTTTGTTTTGGACACTTAAATAATAGGAATATTAGATTGAAAAAAACAGAGTTTGAAAACAATGATAAATTTTGGTTTCGATATTGATTTCTGGTTTTTGAATTTAACTATTGGTTTCCATTTCAATCATTTTAAAATACCTACTGATTTTCAGATTTCCCGGGTTTAATTTTATTTTAAAACCGGTTTTTGTAGGTTCCGGTATTAAAAACTATATTTTTTTATAGTATTTACTTTAGGTACGAAATATATAATATATTAATATATATATATATTTATTTATACATTATTATTTACTAAATAAATATATTCATAAAAGTCATATCTACTTAATACTTTCAGCATATGTACTCTACTGTAGCAGGACACCGCTAAAATAATAGTTTAAATATCAATAGATGATATTTTTTTCGAAATATCTATTTTGGTTTTTTTTTATAGTCATTTGAATTACGCAACCTTTACTTCTTATTTGTTTTATTATTTGTGATTAAAAAGCTCGAGTATTGAAGTATTAAATATACAATTGTAACTTAATATTGGAGTATGTATTATAGGTGTACGCTGAATAATATTAAATTTAAATTTTTTAWAAGACTTAGCTAAGTGTAAATTTGTTCATAAATCTATGAATTATTATATAGTGTCTATCACGCAGTCGCGTCAATAACATTATATTATATTCCGATCTAACGGTTAAAATATTTATTATTATTATTGGCTTAAAGAACCGCGGTTGTCGAGTCGTCATTATTATAATAATATCGTGCGTACATGACGACCACCACCTACATCATTATTTATTTGCGTACTTTATGATATTATTGTTATTATTTTTACGCCGGACATCAACCCGCTGCAGATATTGAGATCGCGAACGAGACTGTGCAAAAACGAACATTTAATTGTCTTCGATAAACGCAGCTATGCCGTTTAGTGGATCCGTATCAATGAATCGGAATACTCCGAAAGCAAAAAACTCTCCGAAATGGAGACCCAAGCCGTCCGTCAACAAGACTAATTTTATGGAAAAGCCGAATTTTACTACGCGGACCGGAAAACTAGTCGATGTGTTGTTTAGGCGCCGTCACTGCAACTCCAGAGACAATTTAACTCTGCTGTGCACTTACTTCGTAGCTAATAAAAGGTATTCGTAACAGGAATTATAGCCCATAGGAAACAACTTTCGTTATATTCAACAGTCAACACCTTGTGTGTAAGAAGTGGCTCCAGGCACTTGGTTGGAAGGGAGGACTAAGTCATCATTTTTCAAAAGACTTTCAATAATAATATATGTTTATTTTTATAATTTCGATTTTAACAATGTACAGCTTTTTAGAAATACGGTCTTGGAAGGATATTAAGACCTCTGGGTCTCCCACTCGGAGTCGCCCCTGGTATGTGTGATTAGATTAATCGCGTAAACAAATTTTGTATTGAGAAGAATGGAATTTTTCAACAACAGTTCTTAAAATTAAAAATAGTTGGATAAAAATTATTTTAATTAAGTTTTATTTTAAAAAATGTTTTTTTTTTGGAAAGATTTAGAATTTGGAGAAGAGTTCCTCCTTAAATATATCTCCCACTAAACTACACTTCTGATTTACATATATTTTGCAGTTTTAAATATATTMTTTCTGGGTTATTTTAGTTGTATTGGTACTAGTGGCTTTTAAAATATTAAAAAAATATTTTGTCCTACATTATTATAGGCACAAAAGATTTCCAAAGGGGTCGAAATCATTTGTTGAAAATGAAACCTCTAGTGATGACTTCTATTCAGATAAATGCAAATTGTGTGCTACTATTGAAAACGAACCAAGCAACAAATTGTAAGTTACCTAAATAGATTTAAATAATTTTTACTGAACTAATTTAATGATTAAATGGTGTTAAAAATATAATGTAGGTACAAGCTTTTTAAATCCAGTAATATTAACTTTCAAACCATGCCAAAATGACTACTTTTTAATTTGAAAAAAAATATAATAATTTTTTACTTATTATCATAATCTATATAATATAAGTATGTTGATTATTGATATAGGTATTAACGACTATATGGACTATGATTATTGTTTACTATTATATTACATAATACTAGTTTATACTAGAAATCAAAATTGAATATCTACGCATAATAATCGTATAAATAGTGAACTGTCAAAGACTCAAAGACGGAATCGCTTGGGACGAACTAAAAATTCCGCTTTGTTGAATAAAAAACGGAAAAATTTCGGATTATTCAATTCGATTTTAAATTGTASATAATGTACTATTATTCATTACATAATAATTATAGTTTTTTATGACATTTATAATCTTTATTTTATGTGTAGGTAGGTAAGTAACTATTAATTATTTACCTAATTATTATAGAATTCTCTTCCATGTACGCTCATATCGATATTTAAATAAACTTCACCGTTACACTGCATACAAATAAATTATTCAGTATACCTACGATGATTATCGGTCGTTAGGTACCTAGTGTATATAATTGTTTTTTCACAGCTTCGATAAAACTTCGTGTCCATAATATTAATCATATTATTTATACATTATTCCTTCATCTTTGTACCTAGAGGTATATTATGTACCTACGTCATTTTTGGATTTTGTTACACACACGCATGCCCTGTTTCCAGTTATTAATGCAAGGTTTTTAGTTTTTTACATGCACGACTAAACCTACAAAATCGTTTCATTTTTACGTTCATATGAAACTGTAGGAACACGCAAAGACCAAAGAAGAATTCCTGATTCGAGATATTGGATAGTAGGTAATCTGTTTTATTTAGGGTTCACCTTAAAAAGTTTTTTTCTGTGTTATGATATAATTATTAAATTATAATATTTGTATATTATGTTCTTACCGTTATTTTTTAACTAAATAGGTACTAACTAGTTTATTATGTAGCCATGTAGGTATAATAATAAGTTGAACAAATGATTAGTAGGTAGGTAAAAGTTATATTAATGCATACATCAATCAAATATATTTTTATTAAGTATTATTAATGGATATTTTATTTATTTTTATTACAGACAACAATACGATAAACCATCAGCAAAAATTAATGCGGTTCTTAAGGATCTAGGGTTTGTGTGTAATACTGATAAAATGTATACATTTTATCCATCAGAGATATACCATTATAAAGATTCTCAACAACATATTAACAGATATGGTCAGAAAAGTTTTGTTGCACCAAAACCAAAAGTAAATATATTTTTGTTATAAATTGCTAAAACATAATGGCGACTGGAAAGAACATCTTTTCAAATTATATCACATTTCTCAATGAAATATTTAGATAAGTGATAGAAGTATTGGCCAATGGGTGTACTTTGTTAGGTTTCTAAGTTATTCTWATTACTAATAAGTTATTAGTTATTTAGTTATTTGTATTTTTTATTTTTTTTTTTAAATGTATAATGTATCTGAATTAATGTTAAAAAAAACCCGTAATTTAATTACAACATAATATTTCCTATCTTACTAACATGATCTCTGTAAATTTTATTTTTAAAATTCTTTTATGAAAATTAATTATTGTATTTTAGAATTCAATAGGTAGTTCTGAAGGATTTAATCAAAATGGAATATATCAAAAGCCAATTCCTTCTAAAAAATACCCGAAAAAAAATCATTACAACAAAAATGATAAAATTGAAGTATGAAACATATTATTTTAAAATTGTTCTTTCTAGGTAATATGTATAATTTCAAATCCATATATTGTGCAAATAATTAATYGTCAATCATTTTATGAACAAATAAGAAAATATTTTCTTTTTACACACTATAGCTGAGATTTAATGTACATTATGTTGTACTGTAGGTATTTATTTTTATGTAAAATTCATAATATTTAATGCATTTAAGGAATTTTATTTTATATTTTCAAATAATTGTTGTCTTGTGAATTATGCTTTGTCTATGCATTGAATGRAATTCTATATCTACTTGAAAACTTATATCATATTATACTATTAAAATTAACTATAGAAAAAATAATTGAGTACTAGTATAGTGTTAAATAAATTTAGTTATTTACATGTATATATTAGAACTATCATCAAAATTCACTAATTCAAAAGAACATGTGCTCAAATCAATTGAATTCCCAAAAAAACACCAATAATTTCCATCAACAGTTTTCTATTAAATACTGGTCAATGAGACACTTGTTATTTGCAAATTTTGATTGTGGTATTCTACTGGACACAGGTAATATAACAATTTTTTTGTTTAAATCTTATATTTTGAAATAATGTTTATATATATAATATATAGAGAGCTTCTATTCAGTCTGTCCAGAGGTATTAAGTTATCATATAGCAAAACGCTGTAAAAATAACATAGTGTTGGATCCGTTTTGTGGAGCTGGTGGTAATATTATACAGTTAGCAAAAACTTGCAAACGAGGTATTATTATAACAATGTTACAAAATATACATAAAAAAAATATATATATATTAAAATATAATTTTAATAAAACTTAATTAATTATGTTTGTATTTAGTTATAGGGATTGATATTGATCCAGACAAGATAAAATTAGCAAAGCATAATGCTGAAATATATGGTGTTGCTCATAAAATTGATTTTGTAGTTGGTGATTTTTTCTTAATTTACCCAAAGTTAAAAGCGGATGTAGTATTCATGTCACCACCATGGGGAGGACCAGGATATTCAATTGATAAAAGCTATAGTTTAACATCTATGTGTAGTGATCATTTTGGGGGAGGTTTTGGCATTTTTGATATTGTTAAAACTATTGCGCCTAATATTGCATTTCATATGCCGAAAACCACAAATATATTAGAAGTAAGACAGATAATAATAATAAAACACATATATGGTGATCAACATGATCTAATCTTTATATATTATTTTTCAGTGTATGTGGTTGGCAAAAGATTTTGGTAAAGTGGAAATTCAGCAGAATATTATTAATGGAAGGCTGAATTCAATCACAGCATTCTATGGAGACTTCCACTGAAGTAACTGACAAACTTACAGTTTTCAGCTACTTGAAAACATTCTTTGCAGTTTTTGATTATTTGAATAAAGTTATTTCCAATTTGTTTCATTACTTTAATTAGTTTTTATTATCAATTAAAATAAGTGTAAATAATAAATCAAAGTTATATGCTAACTCTTTCACTGTTCTAGAATTATTATTATGTATATGTTCCTATATTTTACAATATTACAACTTGTTGGTAACTGTTCAGTTTTAAGAAACCTTGACTTACATTACTTTTAACTTAAATAATTARATAATATAGATCTTAAAATTTAATTGTATGTAGCGTACACAGGTTGCTGATCAATGATCCTAAATAGTACAGCAGTGAAAATGTTAGAATATGGAAAATTAAAAATTTTACTCGAGAGATAAACATAATTTATATAATTTTTTTGTTAGCACATATGCAGTGGCACCCTAGTCTAAAATTTTACCTATGACATTAGTCACCTCCACATACAATTTTGACACCCGCCTATTGCTAATAATTACCTTACTATAAATACACCAAGTATAGTTTTTATGGAACAATATCGACTTTTAGTTTACAATTAACTGTAATAATCTAATACAATTAATTATCATAATACATTTAGAATGACAAAGGTAACCTCCTACCTAATAAAATCTACAATGACAATTGTCATATGTAAATACATATTTTGGCACCACTGCCCATATGTAAAGTTTAAAATTATATTCAAATTATTTAAATTTACTTCAATAAACTCTTGATATAAATCAGACTTATGTATGAGAAACAATACAATTACTGCAATTTAAAACTAAGTATTATAGTTTATTGACTATTATGTAAAACAAAGTTAACTCTGTAAGGCATAAGTATACATTTCAATAAAAATAATTAATCACTAAATTCATTGAACTGTAAAAATAATATAATAACAAAATCAAAATAATATAATGTCTAAACATAATGAATTTGCAGAGCTACAAAAATATTACACTTACAGCTTGGTTTTTTTACTTTGAAATCTTTAAGGTTACAACAGTACTTTTCAGGAACCTACTATACACTATACAATTAAAAAAAAAAAATTAATATATTCACACTTTATCGTTTCTTAATTCTTCCATTTTATTGGCAATATTTCTTTCCATTTCAGCTTCATATCGCCATCTCCAATAAGCTGCCTAAAATTGGAATGTTTAAATTATGATATCAAGGTTTAAATTTGTTTTTTTTAAATTTAATTTTAAAAAAATATTTACTTTTGAACGATCCCATAATGCACCAAATGAATCTAAGGCTGGCCTTACATCCAAAAGAGCAACTTGATATTTATTTGGTGAGTTATCTGTACTGTAATAATCAATAACATATCGTACTTCTTTACCACAACGATCTACTATCCAATCATGTCTATCAAATGGTAGTTCATATCCCATCCAATTTCGTATTCTTGCTCTTGGTGAAAAATKTTTGGCTTTACCTCCAAAGCTTTTTAACTTTGGATTCATACATTCACTTGCATGGAATGCTTCCCACTTTAGCACCTCTTGCCAAGCAAGCTCATTGTTGATGTTATGTATTTTAATTATAACATCCATATCTTTTGGTGATAAATCATCGTCTTTCCAACGCCACCCTTTTCGTAGCATTGCATTCCAAAACATCTAAAAAATGTTTAAATTAAATAAATTAAAATACAAATAATTAAGTTTAAAAAATGTTGTATTATATATTTTATGGGCAATGTTTACTTTGCCCAATCATTATATGATACTGCCCGATTATGAACTTTCTTATCTTATCAATCTTATTAATTAATTTTTTAGTTGAATATAATCAACTAAACTATTAAATTTTATGATTAGCACATTATATTTTTGATCATAATTACATTAAACCAGTGGTTCCAAAACCATTTAAGTTATGCGGACTACTAATAATGTAAAAAATAAACATTGAGGCCCACTTTCCTATAACGTATAGGTATGAAATGTAAACACACACAAATAATATGATAAATATTAAAAATATAGACACGTATAAAAATCTCTATGTTGAATCCAATTAAAATTTTCAGTCCCTTGGGACAGTTACTTGACCAGCGTACACAGCCCAGTACCACACCACAATACTCAAATAGTAAGTTAATAGCTCAAGCTACAAAGTCCAATTTACTATGGCTAAAGTGTACTTAGACTGGTCAAAGTATAACCCTGCCCAGTCAAAATAGTATTAAAATGTATTGCTTAAAAACACCGGGCAAAGTTAACATAGAAAATAGGCATATATATTATATTATATATTAGTATTATTTGTTTTACTTGAGCTGAAGGATAAACCCAAAAGTCACCTTCTCCTTCTGCTTTTGGTATAGTAGATACTTCTCGTTCTGTTGGTAATGGAAATGGTTGATCTGGTGCTGGTTTTTGATTTGGAGGTGGCATCTATGAATATAATATATAACATACATAAAGATTCAATAATTCGTTTTGAGTTATTTTAGGAATGATAATGGTTTATKAATTTATCAGAATATTAATTTTATCACAGCCAATATTTTAGGTTACTTTAAGTATATAAAACTGAAAAGATTTTAGAATAATTCTGGATAATTAAATTATTGAGAGAACAATGTGACATAATAGTTTAAAAAAGTTGATAAAAAGAGCCTATAGTGATTAAAAATGATTTCCTTTTTTATAGTTTTGGTTATAACAGTCAAATTATTACAGACAAAGTACCTATAGTCTTGTGGAAAAAACAGTATTATAATCTATGGCCCCAAAATACCAGGTGAAGTATTCTTATACCCTGCCTTAAAGGTTAGGTTAGCAATCAAATTATGTGCATCTTGAATGTGATTAGCACAATAAAAACCAAGTAAACATGCTTAATCTGGGTTATTGTAGGTAAGAAAAGTGCAGCACTAACAATAATCAGTTGGCAGACTGAATAATCTTTTTTGACAATTTAGAGTTAGACCAGGTTATACATCACATTGCACATAAAATAAATATTAGTTGGCTTTCTATCATGTATTTACATTSTACTCTTACACTAAATAATAATAATTAAAATACATACTAAATGCTCTGACACTTTTATATCACTAAAGATACACGATCTTTTAGGTATCTTTGTAAATAAATTTCAAAGAAAAAATATAACCGCACAGACACTGAAATTGAATTTATAATTTTATATAACTACCTAATGTCTCAATTAGTAAAGGCTAATCGTATAGAATGAAAAATAAACCTGTAACCATGTAGGTAAAATTTAGATAATATAATACGATCATAAATTATAAATTATAAATGTACAATTACAATACAACTAACTAAAATAGTTATCTATAAATCTCCAGTTTCTAATGATTGTGTACAATAAAAATATTCTGGGAATTTTCTTATTCTACATAACACATTATTCTCGCGGATCAATCATTTATTATTAAATAATGCAATATTCAATATATTTTCTCTCGGCTTCTATTAACGGGGACAAAATGAATGACCGGCCGGGACACCGGGGCATGCTGTTAAAACTGGGACGAATGGCAAGCCTAATTAAACRTATTCAAATTCGGCGCACTACAGCTTGTCATAATAATATGTTTACCATATTCAATGGATTAATGTCATCTGGGTTTCCCGCCACAGCACATCCAGCGGCTTTCTTGTCGTCTATTTTGACGTGCATTGGGCATTCCGGCGGTGGGTTTATACCAGCCATGTTGGTAAGGCCGTGTGGATTTTTAGGTACATCATTGTTGTTTGTTTCGTCCTGTGGAATGAACGCTTGTACCACTAGTTTTTGAGCTCCGGAAACCGTATTTCCCATGGCTACTTCTCAAAAAAAAATCTAAAAAACGTTACGTCAAAGTAAAAAATAACAATAAGATTAATATATTTTATTAAAATGTTTACTCAATCGTATTCGATGATCGGTAAAACAGTTTTATATTGGTTAAGTTAAATAGGACAACGGTTTTTGGTAGTTGGAAATTTGAAGTGATAATTTACATTTTTAGCATCTAAAACCGTAAGTTGCACACGGCGTTGTGCATTCGCGGGCCAAAATATTACCAATTCAAATTTTGAAATCCAAATTCCAAAGTGTACTTACTWATTTTTATGTCGAACTTAGAATAAAATTTCTAACCTATATATCACTATCACTTAACACTTATTAGTTATTAGTCCGTCGAAGATATCAGCTCGTGTCCATGCGTTTGATTGATAATCATCATGGAAAAGTGATTGATATGTTATCTCATAACAATAATCACTAATGTTTTGTTTATTATCGCACATCATATTATTATGCACTACCAATATAATACTTACTATATAGTTACTACTACTACAACAACAATACAACTACAACTACTCAATACTTATTAGTTATTATTAAATTTTACCGTCCATCTTTATGGTCCTTATTTTTTCTCTTTATTTCTATTTAAAATGTTGTCGATAAAATTATAAAAATAACATGTCTCGTCGTTTGCGCAGTCTAGTCCGACACTCCGATCCATCCGCCGGTCCATTGTAGTTGGACATTCTCGCTTTCGGGGAGATGAGAATAAGACTATTGCAATTATTATTATTATTATTGACGTTTGTCAATTGTTATTAACTCGTAAATCGTGTTAAGCGTCGGTGTATAGAATAAAAAACCGCTTAGCAATCGGAATTCTGAGACATTTAATCAGTCTTCTAACCGAATATCAATACCGATTATAGCGTTTTATATATAACTCATAAAAATATATGAAAATGTCCATATCGTCAAACTCGATAATTCATAAACTGTATAACCGTCAGGTAATTCAATTTTTTTTATTATTATTATTATTGTTATTCTAATAAACAATATAAAACTGTGTTCATGTGTGGTGTTTAAAACTGGTTCAAGTGATAATCGACTTCAACATCTTGTCGGTGTTATTATATATTATACAATTTATTTGAGGTATTTCATGTTTGTGTACAGCATATACATATACCTAACCTAAGCATTCATGTGAAACTTAAAGTGGTACCCATAAGTTCTTTTTAAATCATCACTGGTATTGTGGTTAAACCAATTGATCATTTATTTTACTGTATTTTTTTTTTTTAATTTATTACCTACCTATTACTATGTCATTGTTTTAACTTTGAAATATATAAAATTAATTTGATTTTTATCAGTAGATGTGTAATTACATCAAATTATTGTTAATTTCTAACTATTTCATTACAAGTACCTATCATTTGAATTGCATTCATCTCTTATTCTACATGATGATTAACTATAATAAAGTATATTAAAATAGCTTACACTTTCATTAAAAAAATATAATTAATCACAACTACTCAATAACCTATATGTTTATTGCATAAACGTTGTTTATTAGAATATTTTTTCCATAATTTGTATAAAATAAGTTTATTTTATCATTAGGAACTCCTAAATTYGGGACCKGTCCAATGTGTAATCTTCCTATAAATGGCTGGTCCAATGTGTGATCTACCAATAAAAGGCTGGTCCAATGTGTTAACTTGCTATAATATTTTGCTTGTTATATTCATACTGCAAAAGTATTTTGTAAATCTGATAAAAAAAATCATCAAATATTTTAGTTTATATTGTGTGGCATGACTGCCACCATTCTTCTTTAAGTTGGCGGTCTAATCATAATGGAGATGCACCATTTACTTTAATATTATACTTGGATTTGACTAACTTCCACAACGACTTTATTGTTTGRGTATGAGCTCTAGTATTTGGATTCACAAAATGTTCAGTATGATACCTATACTCTTTGATGAATCCATGATGAATTGATGTTTGATGGTCCTTTAGAGAACTATATGGTAGCCACTGATCGCTGTTAATCGTTTTACCAATTTCTATCTCTCTTTCTATTATTGGTATAAATGTTTGTTGATCCCTTTTTTCTACAATGAAAAATCGACGTTCAGTTTTGTTGTCTTTATTACAACACAAACCAAATACCCACGATCCCTGTATTCTATTTCCATAATTTTATTGGTTATTTTCTACCGGATTTTCAATTTTATCATTTAAAGTTTTGTCACTATTTTCATATGGTCGTGGGTCGTAATCACCACGGTTTAAGCGACCGCGATTATATTTTCGTTAAAATATAGGTATCAGCTGTTATTGATAGATCACACTTTGTACCTACAACGCTTTTTTGTAGATAGCCGTTTATCGGTAGATCACACATTGGACCGATCCCTTAAATTCTAAAAAATATTAATATTTATTCGTATTTTCCAAAATAGTATATAAGTGACTCTTTTAGGTTAAATAGACTAAGATGTGTTGATTAAAAGTCTATAAAAAAGATGTAATTAATAATTTATATTATTCTTCCTTGTTTCTAGGTTCATGGTACTTTTAAATACAAACATAATCCTCAAAACAATACAAGATATTTATTTAAAGACAATCCAGATTATGGTAAATTTTTCTTGCCAGATATTATAGAAGACATTTCTGAGTTAGTAAATCAATACAATTTTATTTATTACTCTAAATTATTTTATATTTCATTTAATATATTTTTATGTTTATTTTGTTAATTTAGTCATGTGTTTATGGGTTTGACTCGATGCGGCCGATTTTTACTGACTTATACTATAACAGACTCAGAGACTATAGTTGTTGTTGATGGTCCTCTTATGTCTTCATTGAACATGAAATATAAACTGCATTTTTGGGCTTTTCGGCCAGGCCAATCAGCTTTTAGAGTTTCAGAAATTTTATTATTTGAAAATACTGAKTTTAGTGATTTTTTAAATATTTACATTGTTCAATGGCCTAACCGGTCTGACAGAATCGTAGTTTTCGGTGAAAGGTAAATAATTTTATTGAAATAAATAATATTGTTATTAAATATTCTTTTTTATTTCTTTACACAGTGTAACATCTGAAGATGATGATTGTGACATGCACAAAATTTACATTACAGTCACTACATTACCATCTTTAAATAACTGTAAAGATTGTCAATCAGTAGCCTATGAACATAAAGATGAAGGTATGTAAACATTTTACATTATTGTTTTATTTTTATTATTATACTTCAATTATTATTTATGTGTAGATCTTTCCAAGTATTATTTGGGAAACACGTGTCTAGTTCATGGCCTTACTGTACATACATCATTCACAGTGTCACATCCTTATCCTCGACTGGAGCCATCTGTGTCATTGAAATATGATAATCATATTGTGCTCAATACGTGTAATTTTATTCACGTTTTAAATATTGATTTAGATAAGAATCCAATTTCTAAACCTGATAAATCAGAAAATATTAATGTTCCATTAGCTCACAAGTATATTTACAATATCAAATAATTAATAAACTTATATAAAGTGATACATTTTTTTTTTTTTTTTTTTTTTTTAACAGGCTTAGTAATGATTTGACTGAATTTGGTTATAAAATGGCAACTAAAAGTGATAATCAAGAAAGAGGTGTCAAAAGAAGACATATCGATACAAGATGTTTTGTATGTTGACTTAGATAATTCATATAATATATTTTAAATATAATTGTAATTTTTTTTTTCTTATTAATTTCAGTTTGATAAAGAACAAGATATGACTATGGCTGCTCTAAATGCCATGCCTAATTATAACAACCATCGTCTTTTAAGAATGAAAGACGCTGAAAAGGTAAACAAAATTGCAACTACAAACTTTATTTTTAATTTTTAATCTGATGTTTTTATCATTTACCTAATAGGTTTATGATTTTGATGAAAATGATGATAGTTGTTTGCTAAAGTTTAAATGGTTCAGGCGAAGAAGAATAGCAGATAAAATGTATGAATTTTGTTCGGAAGAAGAAGATATGGAAAATGTACATCCATCATCCAAAAAAAATCTTTTTCAATGCCGTGAATCACCTGGACCTTCAGCCGTTGATCAAACACCATTATATATACAAACAGACTATGAAGATGATATATTAAATGACTGTGATAGAAAAATGTTATTTGCTCAAGAATTAAATGCAATCATTGCCGACTGGGATTGTTTATCATCACCACGTTCAGTTACCTCTGAAGATAGAGAAGTTAAAAGCCCTGATAGTACCAACAAAAAAATTACCAATGTGCTCAAGCCAAGAAATAAAACTCCATTGTTTAAAAATTCCAAAAGTCCCTGTGATAAGAAAATCAGTGTTATGATTGTTCCTGATAATATTCAAGGTAAAAATATTTATAAATACCATATATAAGCGTTTTATTATACAGGGTGATTCTTTTATCAAACAACACTCATTATTTAAAAAAAGTATTGACTTTTTCAAAATATTTTTTTACATAGTTTCATAAAAAACCAACGTTTTTATTAAAAAATTATATTTTTAAATATTTTGTATCCTTATCATTTTTTAAGTTTTTTTCTTTTTTGAATGACAACTAGAGTTTTAGTTTCATATTCCAAAGCAGAATATTTTTCTAAGTATTTTGATTCATAAAAATTGAATTTAGGACGAGTAGTTTATGAGTTATAAACTTATAAGTATTTAAAGTTTAGATTGGCAGAGTGGAGTGGAACGGGGTTACCCCGCAAAATGTTTGTCCACTACTCCGCTTGT